GCCCTTTCTGACCTCAGAGAGTGCAGACAAACACATGAGAGATATGCATGTACACATGCAAAACAGCCATCCACAAAAACAAAATAAATAAGCCTTTTAAAAAAGAAGAAGGAGAAAAAGGAAAAAGGAGGAGAAGGAGAAAAAGAAGCCAGACAAAGCCAGTCACATCCCAGGCAGGGAAGCACGGTGAGAACGCCTGGGGTGGACTTCTCAGCAGAAGCAGCATAAAGTGCGGAGAGGTTTGAAATGAGACTTCCAGACAGAAAGAAGCTGGGGGTGCTGGGGGAGCGTAGATAGGTCACCTGACCTTGACCCTCCTGTCTTCGGTTTACCGGTCTGTTGGCATCTGGACAGTCTGCTCAGCTCAAGGTCATGCTGTGTGTGCCGAGGCCATCCCTGCTGTCTGCAGCCTCTGTTTGCCGCCCTTGATGGCGGAGCCTTGGCACCAACTGTCAGGAGCAGTCTCTGCTCTCCTTCTGTGAACAGGGGCCCTGTGCCTGCTTTGGGGAGTTCTTCTTTTAAACTTTTATTTTTCTGTGTGTAAGTATGTCGCCTGCGTGTATATCTGCACCACATGCATACCTAGTGCCCGCAGAGGCCAGAAGAGGGATCAGATTCCCCCTGGAACTGGAGTTACTGTGAGCTGTAATGTGGGTACTGGGAATTCAACCTGGGTCCTCTGGAAGAGCAGCCAGTGCTCTTGACCATTCAACAATCTCTCCAGCCCCATTTGGGAAGTTGTTTTACACTTGACTCCCTTCCTCCTCATACATCTCTGGCTCTGTGCCCCCCACAATCCTGCACTTACTCAAGACACTCCTCCTTACCTCTTGCTGTCTTCTTGTCCATCTCCAGCACTTTTGGAGAGCTCCTAAGAGCAAGATTCCCTCTGACTGTGGACACCAGGCTGTGCCCTGCCCTGTGTTACTTCATATGTGGAAGACAGTCGTCTTTCTGTGTCTTGTCCTGAGAGATTCCATTTTGCAAGAAGCTTTGGACTCATTTTGAGGGTGGAGGATGGCTGGACACGTGAGAGGACACATGAACAGCTCATCTGCCTGGTACCATCTTTGCAACACATACTGACAAATGGCTTATTCTTAAGACTAGAAAGGGTGCCCATCCTGTAAGTTTATCGGGGTGATTTGGGACTGTAGGGGCACACAAGCATAGCAAAATCATATCAGGAAAAACAGACCCAAGAACTTATCAGACATGCTAGACCAAGGCAAGGCTAGAACTCCCTCACCTGGACTCATAGAGAGGTAGACATTTAGCACTGCTGTGGTGGTGTTCCCACCAACTGGTCAACCTGACCACCCAGTGCATGTGCCAAGGAACTGGAAGGCAGAGAACTCCTAACCATCCCAGGACTTCAGCTTGACTCTGTTCCCACTGTTGATATGGCCTACTGGGACTGCCACATGTCCATCTTCATATTCACCGTTAGAATCCGCCATCCATCCACTTGTTTGTCTGGACCTGGTCCTGTGCCTCGCTTCACTCCTGAGGCTCAGCTCCGACTCGCGAGCCTGACTCAGTGGCTGGCAGCCTCTCCAGCTCAGCTTGATTCGTTACCAGTTTGGAGGCTCCTGAGTCCCCATTGGTTTCCCAGCTTTGATCTCAGCACCTTGCCTTGTTAGCCCTCGGCAGCCATTCTGTCTATCCACATTCTACAGCGAGGTTTACCGTGTGTGACTGGAGAGTTAATATCAGTAATTAAGATCGAAGCAAAAGCCTGCGCATCCTCCTCACCATCAAGGAGAGCGGGGACATTAAGCGCGTTGCTGCCATTGAAACCACCGAACCGTGAGAACTGTTATTCAATAAATTCTGCCACCGTAGAAAGACGCAAACATGTGCTAACAGCACACTCACAGCACTGGCCCACCTGGTCCCCAGGACCCTGAAGAGCTGCCCAGGCAGGTGACTGGCTGGTGCCAAGCGGACAAGTGCACAGCCCTCTACATCAAAGCCAGGGGCAGTGTGCCCACCTGCTAGGGATACCCTCAGGCCCTCTTGCAGTCAGGTGCACAGGCCCTTAGAGGTCCTGCAGCCTGAACCTCTGGTTGAGCAGATGGGGAAACTGAGGCCAGAGAGAACAGGGACCTGCCTGAGTCACACTCATCAGGCCTGTACATCTCTAGAGCCAGCTCCCCCTCGCCATGGCTGGCCCTGCCTTTCCTCATTCACAGTCATCTTTGGGTGTCTGTCCATCAAGGCATTGCCCCTGCCTACCTCCCTCTAGAGCCAATCTGACTGGCCTCAGGGACTGTGGTTTCCTCAGAGCATACATTCAGAATGACATCACCAAATCATTCCCCTGGAGACCCTGGTGTCCAAGTGCCCAGCCCTCCCATGAGTCTCCAGGGGCTTCCCAAGGCTAGCCTTTTCCACCAGCCACAGTGAGGCCTGGCTCTCACTTTCCTGAGGTCGCTGGGTCAGGGAGGGCTTGTGCCTGTATCTTGGGATCAGGAGCCACTTCTTGCCTCAATGAAGCAGGCAACTCAGGGGACACTGGGAGCCTCCTAGAGGTCAGAGGTCACTGTGGTTGCCATGGCCACCATTCCTGTCAATCACAGACTCCTCTGAAACAAGAGACCGGGGATGGTGGGATGGTGTTTTAGGGATGGCAGGGCTAAGAAAAAACCCTTTTAAGAAGTGTCTCTTGTCCTTTTCTGAATCCTGAACAAGCCCTCCTCAGGGTGTAAAATAAGGAGAACCCACCAAAACTTCAACAGGAAAAGGAAAGCGTCCTGGCGCAGCACTGGCACCGGGCTGGTGCTGGGAGCTGCACCAGCTCCCGTATCCAACTATAAATATATGTCTTAGACAAAATTGAAATCATTCTATATTTACAGCCTGTAATCTACTTTACTCCCTCCCCACCATTCCCCAGGATATTAAATAATTTTTAGAAAACAGTTTGAAATGGCCCTGTGGTATGACATCATGGGGGGCCCATCATGTCTTGCCCCCTCCTCTGGGAGACCCTGTCCTTGAACAGGAATTGCAGGCACTGGGGCCCTTTGAGGCAACCATCCTGCCTTGGGGACTGCTTCCCTGTTGTGGGGGAGCAGTGTGTGGAGTCAAGTCAGGACACCAGCAGTAACTCCCGCAGGGCAGGCTGGCTGGCCCTGGCCTGATTCTGTGAGGTGGGGGACGTCCTGGCTCCTCCCGCGAGTGAGGGGGAGATGGACCGGCCGCTACCTCCCCAGGCATTTCTGTAATACAGGCCAGGCATAATCCTCTGGCTGAGCCTGGTGAGCCATCCTGAAATGCATGGCCATGGTTGAGGAGTGGGGACGGGGGTGAAGGGGCTCCCTCTTTCCTGATACAAGACTGGAAGTCCCCCAGTGGGCTGACCGTAAGTATTACAGCTCAGATGGAAAGGTGTCCTGGCAGTCAGGAGCCAAGGAATACCACAAAGTCATACCACACAACAAACCTCAAGCAAGAAATTTATTGGGAGGGGAAAAAAAAACAAAGCAAAAAAAAAAAAAAACAAAAACAAAAAACCCATGACAGTGGCTTCTTCTGCTTGGGTGAGAAGCAGCAGAAAACTGAGCAAAAGACAGGGTTTATATAGGGTTTAGGTGGTGGCGGGAGGCAGAATTTTCCAGGGTGGCCTAGGATTGGAGGGATTATGTGGCCTGATCTTGGGGCAAGCACAGGGATTTTTCTGTAGGGCAGGGCCTGGACATTGGAGCTCCTCAGGGGCGGGGCTTATCTGGTAGAACTCCTTAGGTGGGGATGGGGGTTGGCAAGCGGGGAGGGTTGGGGGGTGAGGGTGGGGAGGTTGGGGGCTGGCCACTTGTGTGCCTCAAGGGGTCAGGCCCTGTCGTCAGAGTAGTCTAGGAGCCAGGGGTGGGATTTATAAGAAGTCTGTGAGCATGGCAGAGAAAGCCTTCCTGCAGCATGAACAGCCAACGCTGACCCCTCTCTCCGTGTGGGGAGGGGATCTCTGCCTGTATCCCCAGCTACCCTGCTGTACCATCTGGTCAGTCGATCTTCTCTTTCCCCGAGAAGGTAGCAGGGGCTGGAGGTGGGGGGACAAGGGTGTCTGACCCTAGCCCTCTGGGACTCTGAGGACACAGGCTAGTCTCAAAGAACGGAGGTCGTGCTATCAGCCTGGAGGCTCTGAGGCATCTGGAGCAACACCTGCCCAGGAGGCCAGTGGGCAGGCCGTAAAGGTCCAGCTTCCTCAGCTCAGGTTCCAGTGTTTGCAATGGGAACACGTTGCTACTACACTGAGGCCAAAGCTTGCTGAGTCCAGTTTGCAAAGATTAGCAAATTTCTGTCATGGAGAGCCCCAGGCTGCCACCATTGGGTGGGGCTCTGAGCAAATCCCTTACCCTCCTAAACCTTGGACTCCATCCATCAAATGTGTGCTGTTCTGGAGAGCTTGTAGGATAGGAGCGGGCTGACGTTAGTACACCCAAGGGGAAGGCTATTGAGCTCTGATGGTCCAGTACTTTGTGATGTGCACAAGGGGTGTGTGTGTGATGGGACCCCTGTGTGACCCCAGTTGGGGAAAGCATGGAATAGAAATAGCTGGTGACACCAACCCAGGTGTGCTCTGGACAGGTGGATCTGGTCTGTTTCATCTTTGGGATGAGGGAACGGAGGCAGTCCAGAGAAGGGAGCACCCTGCCTCAGTTCATCCCAGGCTTAGCCAGCCTAGCGACAGAAAGACCTTGGGACCCAGGCCCAGTCCTCAATTTTTACATGGGGATGAGTAGGACCAAATCCTCTAAGGGTCTCCACTCCCTTCTAGAACATTCCCAATCAGGGACAGCTCTGCCCATAATGGGCTAGTTTGAGTGGCTGGAAATCTCAGCTGGGATCCTGGCGTCTAGGGAAGGGCCGGGCTCTAAAAATAAACCTAGCCTCAGCCTGAGAGCGGCCAGCCTAGCCGGAGTCTGAGCACAGTGCCTGATACTCACACAGATGACAGTGGCCCCTGCCTGGCTGTGGAGCCCTGCTCTGGGGTAGTGGTCCCCTGGGGTGGGCTAGTGGCCGATGACCTCTAAGAATATCTGCCCCGGGCTCCGAACACCCCCACAAGCACCTGCATTCATGTAACCGAGATGGGCATGCCTTGGGAGGGTGGCCAGGGGCTGCTTTGAGGAAAGATGTGGCCTGGGCTTGGAAAGCCTGGAGTAGCTTAGACAGCCCGCCTGCCCCTTCTGCTGGACAGCAAGCGACCAGCTTCACGCACAGGTAAGGAGTGAGGGATTGCTCCCTCGGGAAGGGGGGCTGCCTGTGGCCCTGGCATGCAAGGGACTCGGGGGGGGGGGGTAGGAGTGACTTTTTATAGTTCCTATGTCCGCTCTAGCTGGGAAGAGAAGTATAAGGATCTGGCTGGCTCCGGGGGAGGGGGGCCATGTCCATGCCTGCTGAATAGCCTTTCTGTCTTTCACGACTTCTGGCCACCACCCAAACATCACAGTCTTGCCCCCTCCTGAGGATGTGTGGCTGGTGTGGCCGTGAAATTTCAGAAGAGATGCTGTACTGGGTGGCAAGTAGCCTGGGCCTTTGGGAGGAGAAGGGTGGCTCCTTCTCGTTCTGAGGGGTGAGTGGGGCAAGTCTGGCTGAGGAACTGCTGGGGCACGGGGGACAGTTACTGATCCCCAAAGTGATGGAGGCCGTTCTGGGCCTGAGTCTCTGGTTTTCTGACTCTGTAGCTGTTTTCAAGGCTCACCAGGAGGAGCCCGTTTCGGTGGGGTCTGCTCTGGGTGCTAAGCCAGCTCCAAGGGGGCTGGTGGGAAAGCGTACGACCTGTCAAGCATTGGGAGCTCAGAAGGGCTGTCGGCTTGGACTTTCTGCCTCCCTGGCTTTCTGTGCCTTGTCCCCGGACACACAGCATCTTCCCCCGATGGTGAGGCCATTAGTGTTGATGGGCTTTGTGGTGTGCGGGTGCCGTGGGGCAGGCCTGAGGGGCCTGGGATGATACTCAGTGGAATTTGGAGAGGGAGGAATGAGCTGGGATGGTTCTCCTTGCTACGGAAGAGCTGGCAATTGCCGTAGCCGGTTCCCGTCAGGCTGGTGAGACAGGAGTGACAGTGTGGGGCCTTTCAGGAGTGTTTGGCGCATGGATGTGCCGTCAAGAAGGGACGTGGGCCTGGCAGGGAGGCATGCCACAGGGTCAGCTGAGAAATGTCAAGCAGTCCACACTGGGACCGGGCTGGGGGCTGGGGGGCTGGGGCAGAGGGTAGGGCTGGGCCCATGGCTCCTGCTGGAAGTACCCAGGACTCCATGCCCCACCCACACCTCCCTTGCTGCCCTCTCACAGTCATATAAGGGTGGGCTCCTGCTATCTCTTCTCTGGCTTGTTCTGGACAATCTGCTTAGGGGCCCTGCCCTCTGTCTCTATCCCGGTCCACCTTCCCTGACTCCCAGGTTCCACACAACTCCCAGTCTCTGTATGTGACCTGTGTGACCAGGACCAGGTGATTTTCATCTTAGCTAAAATCCCAGCATGGGCTTGCTCCTGGGGTCGGCACACCTTGGCTCTGTGAACTTGACAAAGCCCTTGGTCCCTCAGCGACGCCATCTTCTCATCAATGAAGATGGAGTGAGGCTCCCTTCTAATCAAGGAGCCAGAGGATTAGCAGTTCAGGTACAGGAAACAGGAAGGAGAGCGACGTGGGGTCATGCCCAGGGAGGAGCAGGCTTTGTACATTACAGTCTTCTATTATTTTGGATTTTTTTTTTTTAAATTTTAGATGTGATCTGACTCTGTAACCCCGACTGCACCAGAACTTGTGATGTAGCTCAGGCTGGCTTTGAACTTCTGGTAATCCTCTTGCCTCAGCTGCTGCAGGGATGGCTCCTGTCTTCTGATTAAATTCTGTGCCACCAGGGCCAGCATTTCTCGGCACAACACAGGCCTACAGCAAAGCCTGGTGAGCATGCACGTTGACATGCTCAGGGTATGTGTACATGAGTACTCACACACGGGCTAGGCCCTGGGCCTCGTCTCCTTGGCTCCAACCTTCACACCAAACTCACCTGGTCAGGATGATGGCCTGGAAGCAGCTCCTCTCCCTGACCCTCACTTGTGCTGCTTCTGCCCTTAGGAGTCAGCCAGTACTCTGTGCAGATGTTGGTCCACAGCCCTGCACAACTCCTTTCTATGGGAGAATATTCATGTTGAGGCCCAGTCTGGAAACCATTGCCAGTTTATTAACCACTGGGTCTCTATCCTGGGAACAGTGGCTTTATGTTGGCCATGTGGTTTCCAATCTAATGCAGCCTTCTCTTGGTGCCTCTGAGTCTAGCCTGTTCTCCAAGGGTGCTCTTATACCTGCCTGGGGCTGGATGGAGTTCTGTGTCCATAGTTTTCCATGGAGGCGGAGGAGTCAGTGATAGCATGGCGTCAAAAGGGCCCAGGCCATGGTCAGGCAGGCTTTGTAAAGGATGCCTGGAAACCAAAGCAAGGTCCTAGAGTAGCATTGGCAGCCTGCTTATCCCTTATGGATTGAGAGGATGTTTAACTGGTCCTTTCTGGTGAAAAATAATCTGATTCCATTCACACTCCAGTGTGAGCACACCAGATCCAAATGCTGCTGTGCGTGCTGCCTTTGAAGAGAACTTGGGGTCGGGGCATCAGCTACCCAGCTGGTGGTACAGAGGGTGAATTCTGCCCATAAGTGTGCCATGGTTCACTACTGCACCATTCATTCATATTAACTGCCCACCAGGGAGGAAAGAACCTTCCTTTAGTCCACATGCATCTCCACTATATTGATCAGCTTTTCAGGCAGCAGTGCTGTGTAACAAGCATCCCCTGAGGCTCACAGAAGCATACCCAGCTTCTTCTCACTCCTTCTCACTATGGTGTGGCTGTCTTGGTCAGGGATGCTGGCCTTTCAGCCAGTCTGGGGCCTATGCCTCTCTTGGTAATGGCAGAGAGGCCAAAGCAAACTCCACTAGCCCACTGAAGTCTTGCCTGTTCACAGCGCTCACTCACAGGGCTGCAGCCCAGGCCACAGAGTTCCTTTGCTCTCCTGGACACCCTGCAAGGTCAAAGGTTAGAGAAAGGGGAGAACAGACAGAAAGGACCCTGTCCTCCACACACACCTTCATCTTCTTCCGCTCTCTGGTTCATCTGCCCACCTCTGTCTTTGCCATGACTCCTCGAAGGCAGGCCCACCCATGCCGCTTTTCCCATGGTGGTGGGGGAGGGGCGGTCAGAGCAGAGGAGGTGTCTTAAGCTGTGGATGCAGAGGTCAGCAAACGTGACGGTTAATATCAGCAGCTCATCAGGATCATCAGAATCACCTAGGAGACAAGCCACTAGGCATGCCTGTGAGAGAGTTTCTAGACTAGGTGGTCTAAGGAGGGAAGACCCCCCTGTGAACAATGGGCGGTGTCATGTGGTGGTCGGGGTCCTGGGCTGCTGAGCACCAGCATCCCCCCCTCACTGCTTCTGACTGTGGATGCCGTGTGAGCAGCTGCCATTCATGTACTTGTCACCATGCCTTCCCCGCCATGATGGACTGTGCCCTGCAACTGTGACCCAAATAATTGTCCCCTTCCTTACTTCTACAATGAGCAAAGTCAAGTTCAGAGACACCACCAGGCGGAAACATTCCTCCAAGTGCCCAAGATGAGCGATGGAGACCAGCAAGCATCTGAGGACCCTGGAGAGGACAGGAGACTCTTCCCAAGGAGGGGTCCCCAAAATGGCAAGTTGCCTGGGTCTCAGCAGGCAGAAGAGGGGACCTGAAATGAACTGGAAGGCTATCTGTAATCTGTTTGTCTTGCTGCTTCAGGCTGAGCAAGCCTATCTCTCTCCAGTATGGACCGTACAGAGGGGCCACTCTGGGACCCCATCAGAGACTGTGCCACTCACTGGACTTGCTCCCTCAGAACGGCTATGAGCCCTCTGGCTCCAGGCCTGGATCCAGTGCCAGGACCCTGTGATGCCGATCCTGGAACTGGAATTGCCCCCACCCCACCCCCTCTTTAATTGTTCATGCCAGTGCAGCCTCGGAGGCAGAGACTGGGCTCTGGAGAGCCAGCCAGCCAGAGTAAAGAGAGACCCGGAGTTGTAAAGGTCACTCAACAGCACCGCTTTACATTCATCGGCAACATAGAGAATCCATGGCTCAGTGTCCTTAATCGACGAAGGTGTGTTTAAATGCCAGCCGGTGCAGACAGCTAAGAAAACTGAACTTATTTCTTCTGGCTAAATCCCACCCCACCCCACCCCCCGCATCCCCATCAAGACCTCACTGGACATGAATCTAAGACCAAGGCATTTGTGTGAGATGTCTCCTCCTCACACAAGCCTTCTGCAGAGACCCAAGAGGTAGGAGTCCAGGGTGCTTGTGTCTGGTGAGAGTATTCTTGGCATGTCTACAGCACCCCAGAGGCTCTGTTTACCCACATGTGGAATGGACTGATGCTCTTTGCTGGGGACCATTCTCCAAGAGGGCAGAGAGAGAGTTAAGAAGTGGAGACTCTGGGAGTGAAGATGTGAGCAACAGGGCCAGTGGGGACAAGGCTGGGTGAGGGGGGGAATATGGAAGGTGTGCCTTGGGGGCACAGAGAGAGAAGGGACAGGAACTTGGTCACTTCACATCTGTAGTAACTGTGTGTTCAGGAAGGGGGGGACTCTGGAGCCAGGTCTGGGCATAGCCCTTGACTGCTGCTTGTCACCATGAGAGATAGTGGTCACTACCTCTCAGTGCCTCATGGCTGCAGCACCTCTGTCTCTACTCAAAGTGAACTTTCAGAACAGGAGTTGTGGATTAGTTAGGAATGTGCTTGCCTGGCGTGCATGAAGCCCTGGGCACGATCCCAGCACTCTGGAGGTAAAGGCAAGAGGATCAGAAGTTCAAGGCCATCCTCAGCTGCAAAGTAAGTCTCAACGACAACACAGAGTTTTCCTTGGCACTCAGGAAACCTTTCCTGGTCCTTTCACAGCAGCTTCTGGGGGAAGGCCAGCCTTGGGTGGGCCTTGGATGGGCATGCCTTCACTTTGGGTACAGTGAACTGCCATGTGAAGAACCTGAGCTTCCTTTGATAGGCTTTCAAATACCATCTCTTCTAAGTGAATGCCCTGCTTGTGGGATGGTGTGGGGCCAGCTTCTCCATGTGAGAACCACACCCTGAACTCTTGGTTAGAGATAATATGGCAACTCCTGGCTGAGCCTATGTCTTCTAGGAAGTCCATCTGACTCTGGAGCAATAGACAGTTGGAGGGGCAAAGG